AGTTTGTTCGTACCACTGCTGTCTTGCCCCTGTCAGTCATTTGACCCTCAGCCTGACAGGCCTTTGCTTCCTGTCGATTGTTTTTCCTTCACATTCAATGTCCAGATGTGATCTTATCATCTAAGTGTAAGCAAAAATATGACACACACACAGAGCAAGCTAGTTGAGTATCTTTACTGACATTTTATTTCAGTGTAGCTGTTTGCTAATGTTTACATTCAAAACACACAGTGTAGCTATAGTGTTAGTTAGATTAGTTATTCAATATTACTTCTATTTTACTGTATTTACATATTTTTATGTTGCTTGGACTTGATTTGCTGCTAAGAGATGGTAAATGGTCTTGCACTTATACAAGTGCTGGTCATATAATGAGAATATCATGAAAAAGCTTATTTATTTCAGTAATTCCATTCAAAAAGGGAAACGTGTATATTCATTTATTAGACACAGACTGATATATTTCAAATGTTTATTTCTCTTAATTTTGATGATTATACCTGAATACTAATGAAAATCCCAAATTTACTATACTAGAAAATTAGAATATTACTTACGACCGATACAAAAAAGAATTTCTTGAAATGCTGGCCAAATGAAAAGTATGAACATGAAAAGTATGAGCATGTACAGCACTCAATACTTAGTTGGGGCTCCTTTTGCCTGAATTACTGCAGCAATGCGGCGTGGCATGGAGTCGATCAGTCTGTGGCACTGGTCAGGTGTTATGAGAGCCCAGGTTGCTCTGATAGTGGCCTTCAGCTCTTCTGCATTGTCTGGCGTATCGCATCTTCCTCTTCACAATACCCCATAGATTTTCTATGGCGTTAAGGTCAGGCGAGTTTGCTGGCCAATTAAGAACAGGGATACCATGGTCCTTAAACCAGGGACTGGTAGTTTTGGCACTGTGTGCAGGTGCCAAGTCCTGTTGGAAAATAAAATCTGCATCTCCATAAAGTTGGTCAGCAGCAGGAAGCATGAAGTACTCTAAAACTTCCTGGTAGACAGCTGCGTTGACCTTGAACCTACAAAAACACAGTGGACCAACACCAGCAGATGACATGGCACCCCAAACCATCACTGACTGTGGAAACTTTACACTCGACCTCAAGCGACGTGGATTCTGTGCCTCTCCTCTCTTCCTCCAGACAGGACATCCAAATTTTGCTTTCATCAGAGAACATAACTTTGGACCACTCAACAGCAGTCCAGTTCTTTTGGTCTTTAGCCCAGGCAAGACGCTTCTGACGCTGTCTCTTGTTCAAGAGTGGCTTCACACAAGGAATGCGACAGCTGAAACCCATGTCTTGCATACGTCTGTGCGTGGTGGTTCTTGAGGCACTGACTCCAGCTGCAGTCCACTCTTTGTGAATCTCCCCAACACTTTTGAATGGGTTTCGTTTCACAATCCTCTCCAGGGTGCGGTTATCCCTATTGCTTGTACACTTTTTTCTACCACATCTTTTCCCTCCCTTCGCCTCTCTATTGATGTGCTTGGACACAGAGCTCTGTGAACAGCCAGCCTCTTTAGCAATGACCTTTTGGGTCTTGCCCTCCTTGTGCAAGGTGTCAATGGTTGTCTTTTGGACAACTGTCAGGTCAGCAGTCTTCCCCATGATTGTATAGCCTACAGAACTAGACTGAGGGACCATTTAAAGACCTTTGCAGGTGTTTTTAGTTCATTAGCTGATTAGCGCGTGGCACCAGGTGTCGTCAATATTGAACCTTTCCACAATATTCTTAATTTTTTGAGGTAGTGAATTTGGGATTTTCATTAGTATTCAGGTATAATCATCAAAATAAAGAGAAATAAACATTTGAAATACATCAATCTGTGTGTAATGAATGAATATACACTACTCACAATAACTTAGGGATATTGTTATTTACATGAGTGCTTTTCCTATTTGGTCTGAATTTTAATGAAATAAGTAAAAGTTCCCTTTGATATTACTAATAATGAAT